TTTTGTCCTAAAATGACAACTGTTGGCTTGGCAAGCCCCTACATAGTAGCTTCAGGATGGAAGCTGGTTTCCAGAAAGATCAAATCTTGTTAAGAAGGCTGGAGACAAACCATGAGAGACCGTGGACTCTGAGAAACAAACTGAGGGCTTTGGAGGGGAGGAGGGTGGGGGGTTGGGTGAGCCTGGTGGTGGGTATTATGGAGGGCACGTACTGCATGGAGCACTGGGTGTGGTGCATAAACAATGAATTTTGGGACACTGAAAAAAATAAAATTTAATTTAAAAAAAAGAAGCCTGGAACTTTCATTTCTGCACCACTGCCCCCCACGCCCCCCCCAACCTCAGAAGGGGAAAACGCTGGAGATTGAGTTAATAATCAATCATGCCTATGTGATGAAACCTCCATAAAACCCCTACAATGCAGTACAGAAAGCTTCTGAGTTGGCAAACACATCCACATGCTAGGAGGGTGGCAAACCCCAACTCCACGTGGAAAGAAGCTCCTGCATTTGGGACTCATCCAGACCTTGCCCTATGTACCTCTTCATCCTGCTGTTCCTTTCTATTTTTCTTGTCAAATAGTAACTGACATCCAGGCTCCCAATTCTGTCCCATTGGTCTATGGGTCTGCTTTTAGGCCATTGCCTTAAAGTTTTGATTACTGTATTGTTTTGATTACTATAGCCTTGTAATCTACTTTGAAATAAGGAACTCTGATATTTCCTGCTTTGTTCTCCTTATCGAGGATTGCTTTGGGCTGTTGGTTGCTATGCCACAACCTTTATGAAAGGAAATGTGACGGTAATGAGCAAGGTTACGTGTATTTTCACCCTGTATTCAACAATAGAACATCTAGAGGTCAATTTCAAAGATATATTGATAAATATTGCTAAAGATTAGGTCACAATTCTATTCACTGTGGCTGTATTCATAGTAGCCAGAATAGAAACAACCAAAGATTAGCCGACTAAATTATGGTACCTTCACACAATGGCATACCCCATAGCTGTTGAAAGGAGTGGGAGTTGCCTCTATCAGGCACCTTGAGAGCATTATGGAGTGGTCTCAAGGACATGGTTATTTCAGCTTTACTGAGGCATAATTTGTATACGAAAAAGCCTGTACATAAGTTTGGGCATATGCACACATCCGTGTAACCATCTCTGTGATCAAGGTAATAAACATATCCATCACCTCCAGAAGTTTTTCTGTGTGCCTTTGTTATTTTGTTTGTTTGGTTGGTTGGTTTGGTCCCGTTGGGTTTTTGCTTGCTTGTGATGAGAAAAATTAACATGAGATTTGCCCTCTTAACATATTTTTAAGTGGACAATACCTCTTATACAAAGCATTGACTATAGTCAAACTCATGGAAACAGAAAATAGAATGGTGGTTGCCAGGGGATGGGGGGAAGGGGAATATGGAGAGTTGTTGTTTAATGGGTATAAAATTGCAGTTATTCAAGATGAGTATGTTCTAGAGATCTGCTGCATAACATAGTGGCTATGCATAACAATGAAGGCTATGTTTTTAAGTGAAAAAAAGGCAAAGTGGAAGAGTCTACATAGATTATGCAGCATTTATCCCAGGAGGAGGGAATATATTGAATGTCTGTCTCTCTGATGAGAGATACAGATCTGACGGCCAGGTTATACCAGTGGTTATAACAGTTGTTCCATTCCTTTAGCCTTTAAGGAATCTGTTGAATACAGCCCCTGTATGAGTTTTGCTTATCCTGGTGTCCCCACTTCCGACTTCTACCCATGTTGGCTGCCTCTGAGAACACATGTGCACCCACAAACACTTTTGGCAATTTATTCTGCTCAATATTTGTTACAGACCATCCCATTTTTCATTAATAATTAATACTTTCCCTACATGTTGAGCTGTTCTTAGCCAAAAATCAGAGGTATCAGGCCTTTATGGCCCTGCAGTGTTCGTGTGCCCTACGATGGAAGAGGTTCCTTTCTGGGCAAGGGCTGAAAGCAGTGGAATGTCGGAGGGAACTCTTACTGGAACGTAAGAGCCAACTTAATTTTTCAGGAATTTTGAGAGCCAGCTATTGAGCACAGCTGTTTTAAAGACTGAATTACATAAAGTAGCAATAACATTACGTGCATTATACTAAAACCAAACAAAAATAACACAATCAAAACTCACCAATCTCTAATTATTTTTCCTGCATTTTGCTAATTACCTATGTTCTCGAGGATATGTACGTTGATTGTACCTGCACGGTGGGGATGTGTCTCTTCCCAAATCTGCCTTAATTGACATTATCTCAGTAGCTTGAAATTGGCAAATGCTACAACACAGGACATTTCCCCCAACCCACCCTCTCCCCCAGAGAGCCTGTTATTAAACACTTACACTCATACCACCAGCTGAAATTGATCCACTCTGCAGATGCTCTCATGTGGTGGACGTCCTCAGATCCAACCAATGCGGTTGTAAAACACATGAGAGTCAAGGCCTAACTTACACTATTCTACAAAGTGATGCTTTGAATCTGTGAACTGGAGTAGCCTATGACGAAAAAAAGTTTGGGTATTAACATTTATGACAAATTCCTAAGATGCTCATAATATGCCACCCTGAAGAGACTTTCTAAAAAGGTATAGCATGGGGCGCCTGGGTTGCTCAGTCAGTTAAGCGTCTGCCTTTGGCTCAGGTCCCGATCCCAGGGTCTTGGGACCGAGCCCCACATGGGGCTCCTTGCTCGGTGGGAGCCTGCTTCTCCCTCTTCCTCACCCTCTCCCTCTGCCTGCCTCTCCTTCTGCTTGTGCTCGCTCATGCTCTCTTTGTCAAATAAATAAAATCATAAATAAATAAATAGGTGAATAAGTAAATAAATAAATGTAAAGGTATAGAGCGGTGTACGTACACGTGTGCACTTGAGTGTGTGCATGTGTGTGGGGAGGTGGGGGCTGATGCATCAGCCTCAGGTCTAAAAGGTTCTGCATAGAAGGGCAGGTGGGACTCAGAAAAATGAAAGGATCCAGAGCAAAGGGGCTCACTCCTTCTCCCAGTCTCCATCACTTCATTTCTCTTTTCCTCCCTCTTCTCATGCCACTTCCTGTAACTCCAAATACACTCTCTTTTTCCCAACTCAGCTATGGGATCATGGCACACCTAGGACAGAGTAGCACAACAGGGTTTTGGTCCTTTTCCCAGGCAATACTGCTTCCTTCCTCTGTGAATATGTGGGCTTGTTTATCTACTATCTTGGGGGGTGGGGGTGGTTTGGGATCACTGATTTAAGTAGCAAATGAGGGAAGGGACGAAAGCATGAGATGGACGTCAGTCTTGTCCTGTGTGCTGAGTGATATTGCATGGTTATCTGGCATTAGATAAGGATGGGGAGAAGCCTGACTTCTCAAGGCCTGAAACAAGAAAGCATAAGTTGTCGTCAGATGTCATCACCATCAATCCTCTTGGGTAAAAATGAGGGAGGCAAGGAAGGAGGGAGAAAACACGATAGGAAACAGACAGGGCATATCCAGTGGAGCTTTCTGTCTTTGGGGTGGGGTCTCCATTCTTCCTTTCTTTGGAACATCAGCAGAGGACTGAGAAAAAAGAGTAGGTAAGATCTGATGCACAGCTACATATTGTTACCTTGAGTACAAAACAAAGAGACTATTTTTGAAAGACTCTTCTGACTGGATGCCTGCCATTTCAAGATTTGAACCTTTCACTCAGTGGTTGAGGTAGAGATAGATTCTTGTCTAGAAGGTAAATTATTAGCTAATTTAGGGCCTGGCAGAGAAGGGAGTCTTCCCCCATCCATCTTTGGCTAAAAATTTCCCCTAAAACACTTGTGCAAGAGGGTGTTAATCATGCTTAGCTCAGAGAGCTGCTGGGAGGCTGTATGTGTTTAGCATACACAGGGCACAAAATAAATGCATGAATATGATTCTTCCTCATATTTCATGAGTCCTTCAAAAGCAGGATCTGGGTCTAATTCACCTCCCCTCTTTGATTCTTCTGGCCATGATTGGCTTCAGTGTCCCCCACTATAAAGTACACATTGGACTAGAATCCAACCGGCATTCACTTGGCCATGGTTGGCCTGAACGGATGTTTTCTTTGGCCCACGTACAGGTCTTAAAGAAGAAACCAGAGCCGACATTTTAAAATGGAGATATTCTACATAGATATCTAGAATTCCGCTTTCTCTCGAAAAATCAGGAGCTGTGGCAGTGCAGAGTCTGCATTCCTGCATGGCAGCAATCGGCTGGAGCCAGGTGGCAGCTGGCCCCTTAGGTAGACCATGAACTGCCAGCTGGCCAGAGCCTGTCTGGACAGCTCCACTCATTTATAAGACCTGCTTGATGCTGCAGACAACTCAACTTGGGGCCCTCTGGACAGCTGGGAACAGTCTATGCCAGGCGGAAGGTAGGCACTTACTTGCTCAGTGAGTAAAACTCTTATCATTTTTTATCTCTACCATTTTCTGGTCTAGTCATGTTAAGAAATCCCAGTTATTGAGTAAGGTGATTCTCACTTTGGAAAGTAAGTGGAACAGGTCTGTTAGAGTCAGGATGGTCTACGTTATACTGTGACCACAAACAACGCCCCTATCTCACTGCCTTACAACAGCAAGGGTTTATTATTTGTTCACACACATAAATGTGGACACAAAATGAAAACACCCCTAGATTTTGACAAGCATGGATATAGACGTGAGTACACAGCTATGTTTGGAATCACAAGTCAAATGAAAACTCTGGCATATGAACACGTGACCTCCTACAGAACCCTATTTAGAGACTGACCAGCTTAGATTGCACAACCCTGATTTTATAAGAGACATAGAAGGCCCCAAAATACAAAGCAGTAAGAAATGGAGGTTCAAGAATACGCACCCTCAGCCAAGGAATTGCCCCACATAATAAAAAGGGTCTGAAAGGCTTGTAAAAGAAAGTGAAGGTTTAAGAAAATGTTAAGCGTATTGGGTATTAAACATTTTGCAAATGCATAAATAGGCAGCACTCTAGTGAGGCCTCCTCTTCTGGGCTTCTAGGTCAAGAGGGAGATGCACCCCAGATGCCCAGTAGGCAGAGAAATGGAGCTGGCTCCCGGGGTCGCAGAGAAGGGTTAGGAGGCTGGGGTCCTCTATCTTCAGCAGGATCTGCAGAGAGAACGGAAGGCATCAGAGCCAGGTCACATCCATTTCCGCTCCAGGCTCTCCCCTCTCTTTTGTTTCACCCGATCTAGGCTTTGTCACCTGGACTACAGAGTGCAGCACAGCACACTTCCCCGCTGATTTGCCCATCTCGGGTCTTGCCTCCTCCAATCCCTCCATCAGAGCCACCACATTTCTTTTTGTGGAGCCCAGGATCTCTGAATATGCTCCCCCCCAGGTCACACACTCCCTGGCTCCTCACCACCCACAGTTTCTGGTCTAGCCCCTAATTCTGGCATTCAGGACCCCTGTAATTGGCAGCCTCTCCAGCCTCATCCCCTTCTGTTCCCAAAGTTCCTCCTTCAGTCAGGTTGCTGCTTCACTCAAGCATCATATTGCGCCCAACATTTTGGTCTGGGAATGCCCAGCCTTCCCTCTCAGCCTTCCCAGGCTTCTACCCCTCCTCAGACTCCCTCTGGTCCTTCCTCTCCAGGCTCATCATTGAAACTCAGCCACAAAACACAAGGGAACTCTGAAGGCATCCAGGCTCCCCCTGGAGACAGGAATCAAAGACCAGATCTCCCTCCAGCCCAGGCTCTTATCACCTATGTGTATGCTGCCCACCACAGCAGACTGCAGGGGTGTGGGTAGAGAGCTCTGGGCTGGGAGTGAGGAGACCTGGGTGTTCCACCTGATAGGTTGCATGCCCCAGGGCAAGTCCCTGCCACCAGCAGGACCTCAGTAACCTTGTTTCTCGACGCTAGGGCCCTGGGCATTTGCTTGTTGAGCACAGAGCTGGATAAACTGATGATTCACTGAGCAACCAGCGACTGCCATCTCTGGCATCAGACCAAGGAGCTTGCATACCTGAGCCCTAGGAGGTTCAACCCACCAACCCCGGCCTCCCAGTGAGACCCTGCTTACCACAACGCCCTCCCCTTTCCCAACCATCCCCACCACCCCGTGTTCTCCTTTCAAGGACAAGGCTACTTGTCGCCACGCAGGGATGGAGCACGGAGCTGGAGCCAGAAGATGCCTGGGGAGAGTCTCTCAGAATCAGCAGAGCCTCGGCTGCTTCCAGTTTCCGCTGCCACTCTGAGGCAGAATCCGAGTCCTGGTCAGAAGATTCAGGAGCCTGCAATGGAAAGGGTGTGAGAGAATGGGACCTGAAAACCCATACCTCCCCACCTCATGGGGCCAGTGGCCCTTCAGTCCCCAGTTCCATTGAAGGTCCCCCCCCACCCCCGGGGGCCTTCATCCTTTCCCATTCACTAAGCCTGGCCCCTGCCAGGGTTCTGGACCCCGCTATTTTCCCAGGATCTGCGGTTGTAGTAGGACAGGGCCAAGGGCGGCACAGGGCTGGAGGACCAGAGCTGAGTCTCTAGAGACAAGGAAAAGAGGGGCCATGGGATTAAACCCTCTGACAGATACATAATACCAGTAGAGAAACAGGGCCAGGATCTTGCACCACCCAGATGTGGGAGTCTGAATGCCTGTTGGCCATTGGTCGTTGTGGCTTGCACAAGTCCTTTCCCCTGTTTAGCCTGTTTTCCTTTCTATGTCCTTCCTCAACATCTCTCCTGAGACACTAATTCCTGCCAGGATTTTCAAAACTCCCAGGCCAACAGTGATGGGTATGGAAAATCCCAGGTGTCTGTGGTCTAATCTGCAAAGCACCTGGAGAAATGGGATCACTGTCCCTGCCCAGGGACTGCTTCTCACCCCCATATTCCCCAATCCCCATGGAACTTGAAGGACCAGCTTGGCTCATCTAATGGCCTGGGAGCTTTCTCTAATGACCTCTGGACTCTCCCTCTGGGCCCTGTGGCACTCACCGTCCTGCCCACCCCCTTCAACAGGACCTTCTCTCCCATCAGTCTGTTTCCCCTTGGAATAACAGCCTCCAGCAGTTGAAGTCCTGCTATGTGGCAGTCCTGGACCTAGTCCTCTTGTCAGTGCTATGTCAGGTGTGGGATATTGTCCCTATCAGTACACTGCTAGTACACTGGAAATGGAGGCTTGGAAACGGAATGTCACTTGCGCAAAGTCTCACAAATAGGAGATGGCAAGGCTGGGAGAGCCCTGCCCTTGCCCGCTAGTCTGAGATGCTGCCTTCTCCACTCCTCCTCCCTGAACCCCTCCTCCCCCTGCCACTCCCCCTCCCCCTGCTCCTCTCCCTCCCCCCCCAACCCCATTCCTTCTCCTCCTCATGGGCCGCCTCCTCCACTCCTTCCTTCTATCTCCCATGGCATCAAGCACAAAGGTTGGGCACCTGGTCACACAATATACATCTAGCTCCATGGGCCTTCTCACTTTACTCACATCCTGGGCAGGGCAGGAGCCCTGTGGGTCTTCCTGGAAAGAGAAATTGTTAGTCGCGTCTTCAAGGCTGCTGGAGTCCAGGACAGAGACAAAGATTTTGGGGTAGGACCGGTCAGCAGAGCTCCTTGGGCGCTTGCCTGCAGAGGCAGAGAGCACAGGGTGGAGTCAGGCACCATGCCGGCCATGGAGAGGAGATGTGTATGGGTATGTACTGGGATGAGGATAGGAGCCCAAAATGTCAGAGCTGAGAAGACCTTGAAGACCAGCCAGTTCCTACTATTTATTTTCCACCTGGTGAAATGGAGACTCCAAGAGGATAAGTATTATTTCCTCAAGGTCCCGTGGCAAGCTGCAGTAGGATTAGGGAGGGAACTCATGTCTTCAGGACACAGAGAAGGGTCTGGGCAGTGGGTGAGATGGGAACTTCCCCCACAGGCCCCAGACTCTCCTTATCTCCCTAGGGGTTGGGAAGGTTTGGGTGGGCCTCAAGCTGGGACATGATGTTCTCCTTCCCAGCTATGGAAAGCTGGGGACACTTTGGGTGAGCCTTTCCCTCTGAGCTCACCCCACTCTTCCTCACCCCCAGTCTGAGGTCTCATCTCACCGTGGACCATTTTGACCCCCCCAGAGCTCTCCTTCCCACCAAAACTTGGTAGATAATATTGATGAAGTTGGATAGGTGGGGGGCAGCTAAAGGCCCGAGGGGTAATTTGCCAAGGCCACATCAAAATTGGGTAAGAGGACTGGTGACAGAACAGCTCAGTGCTCCTTATCCCCAAACCCAGACACCCTCCCTGGCCAGAGACACTCACTGAGGGCTCCGGCTTGAATGGTCAACTTCTTGACATGGCTGTGAGCTTTGGGAGGGGAGGCCTCACTCCTTGTCTGTCCTTGAGCCAGGTGCCTCTTTAGGTTTGCCCCCTGCTCCCTCTTCAAGGCACTCTCAGCAGGCAAGACACTGTGGTGTTCCCTAAAGTGGGGGATAGCAGGTCTACAGTCAGTCACATTTTGGGGAGGCTCACCCCCCCCACTGTCAGACACTATACTCACGAGAAGAAGATACACTTGTGACACTCGCAGGCTTTGAAGAGGCAGAAGTGATCCTGGTCCTTGACTTGGTCAGTGAAGCCGTGGTTGTAGCAGCGGGCACAGCGACTTACAGCTCTTTTGGGGCCATGTTCAATCTCGCATGGGGCCCCGGTCTCAAGCCCAGTGGGGGGATCAGAGGGGCAGCAGGGCACAGCAGGCATTTCATTGGGATCCATCGTCCTAGGGCCAGGAGTGGAGGTCGGGATGGCCACATGATCCCCTACCCTGAACGTACTTCCTCTGCCCTTTGAAAACCCCACCTGAGGTGCCTGGATCCTTCTTCACCCAGCTCATTGCTGAAATCAGATCGCACCCACCCTTCTCACTCATGCAGCCTCCTTCCCAGGAAGCCCCACTCACGCATAGCCTCATTCTAAGGAACTCTTGGCATGGCTCCTGTAAACTTTCAATCGAATCACTATTCTCCTTGCTTCCCTTCCCTCTACATAGACCCCCTTTTCAGGCATACGCATGCACTCGTGTGCCCCCCTTTCTTCAATTACTGCCTTCCCCTTCTCGTGTATCATCCTGTACTCTGCCATTCCTCATGATTTTTCCTGTCATGTACTTCCACAATTACCTTCCTAACCTCCTGCATTCATTCACTCCCTACTCATGATTCTAGCTCCTCCCATTCAACTCTATTATTAGTATGTCCTACATTCAACTTTCCTCTCACACCCCAGCCTGATTTTCTTCCTGCACCCCACTGTAATCTTAATTCTTCTCTCAGCCCCCCAACACTTTAATCTGACACCCCCTTTGTACCCCCGTGAAATTTCATTAAGCTGCTGGACCCTAAGCCCCTCTTTCAATAAGTATTTTTATGCATCCCTTCGATTATTCATTGACTAGATCCTTGCTGAGCCCCCTATCGAATGCCAGACCCTGATCTAGTCAACAGCCAACTCCTCACTGCAGTAATTGTTTTCTTCCACCAACAGAACCCTCTGTGCTCTCATGCAAACCCATGTACTCCCTGCTCAGCCTCCCAACAATCTTCCATGCTCCTCTTCACACTTCAACGGTTAAGCTTGGGTACACTTTCCCCGTCCCTCACACCTGGGGTGCACCACCTCATCTCAGGCCACCCAGTCATTCACTGCCACTGCCACATCAGATTCAAAGGATCAAAGGCAGGGGCTTGAGTCCTGCCTTAGGTTCCAGAGGCCAGGGTTCAGGTGCTGAGGCAAGGGTTTTCCTCCCACAGCCATTCGGTGGTTGTTGCCTGGGGGGTGGGGGTGGAGAGGGGACGGGGCGGAGTGGAACATCAGGAGGTATTCCACTGAGGTTGGAGGAGAGGAGAAGGAGTTGGTCATCCCGAGCAGGAGGGAGGGAGGAAAGAAGATGTGTGGAGAACGAGGGCCCTATTCCTGATGCCAGCCTGTGGTTACCTCAGCCTCCCGCAAGTCGAAATCCAACAGCAGGGACAGAAGGCGGGAGGGAAGACCCAGCTCTCTCTCCCTTTCCCGCCCTTCCCGCAAAGGCCAATGAGCTTCCAGCGCTGCCTTCCCCCTCCCACGGCTGTGACCAGTGACCAATGAGCTTCGAGTTCCATCGAAGTGCACCTACCAAAGCCCCGCCCCTCTCGCCTTCCTCCCACTTTTCCGTGTGCTGGCTTTGCTAAGACAGTCAGTAACTCGTGAAGTGAAGTGAAGTGAAACTTTGTGTTCCCTAAACCTTGTTTCCCAGACTTTGCTCCCTTTGGGTGTGAAATACAATATGTGCATGCATATTTAACTCATGTCCTTGGTATCCTGTAACTGACTTTTACGAAATTCAGCACGTGTTTTTAAGATTCAACCATATTTCTATGTCAGGGTTTGTCAATGGGAGGGGGCGGGGCAATTCTGCACCCCCAGGGAACATTTGGCAGTGCTTGGAGTTATTTTGGTCCATCTTTGCGTGTCTCTGTGTCTGAGCTCCCTCTTCTGTTCCACAGATAAATTTGTCTATTTCTGTGCCACTACTACATCATCTCCATTTTTACCTCTTGATAAGGCATCTTGATCTACGGTAGGGCAAGTCCCCCCACCTTATTCATAACCTTCGAACGTATCTTCCTTATCCTTTGCCTTTCGCCCTTCCAGTATAAATATCAGAATCGGCGTGCCTTGTTCCTTGAAAACTCATTTGCCTCAGATTTGAGTTGCATTTTCATTAAATCTGTGGATAAGTTAGGGGAGTATTGACTATCTTTAGGACACCCAGCCTTCCTAGTCACCAACATGGCATGTCTCTCCGTTTATGTGGGACTTCCTTAACGTTTTCATCCTTAGTATTTAATTTCGTCTTTCTGTACATTCAGATCTTGTACATCTTTTCTTGCATTTATCCCAAGATGCGCTAGAGTGTTGTTGCTCTTGTGCTTGTTATCCATTTAAAATGACATTTTCTAATTGTATCTAACTTAGAGAAATCCATTTGACTTTCTAAAAACTATACTGACCTTAAAGCCAGCCACCCTGCTAAACTCTGTGATATCTAATCATTTGTCTATAGATGTTCTGCAGTTTTTCATGAATCTGTGAGTTACAGAAGCCCAATAATCAATTTACAGGTTTCTTAAACCTGTACTGGTTGACTAGGACATCCACTACAAGGCCGAACCGACATGACCAAATTCGACCTCTTTAGGTTGTCCCTAATATTAAATAGAATGCTGCCAACATTTCCATAATAAAAGGGGTTTGCTGTGTTTCACTGTTTTCAACCTCCTTCACTTCCTCTCTTCGTTCCTCCATTCCGTCCTCCCTCTCTCCATTCCTTCTGTCTTTTTCTTGTTTCTTCTTTTCTTCCTTTCTTTTCTTCTTTCTTCCTTTCTCTCTTTTCTTTTTACCCTTTTATCTTCTTTTTCTTTCCTCTTTCTTTCTTTCTTTCTTTCTTTCTTTCTCTCCCTCTTTCCTTCCTTCCTTCCTCCCTCCAACCCTCCTCTCTCTCTCTCTCTCTCTCTCTCTCTCTCTTTCTTTCTTTCTTCCTTTCTTTCTTCTTTCTCTTTATAAGATTATGGAGTTTTCCTCATATTTCCAGTTTAATAAGTTTGTTTTAAAAATCATGAATAAGTAGTGAATTTTAGTTTTTTGTCTCTATTGAAATGATCAAAAGTCCATTTGTTTATTCTGTTAATACAGTGTTATTTGTAGATGCTTTTTTCAAAATCTTAAATGAAGCTTATAATCACACAAGGACAAAATTCACAAGTGTGTATCTTAATGAGTTTTCAAAAATTAAACATACACGTTCAGTTAGCACCTAGAGCTAGCCACAGAATATGTTGGCAACACACAAACCTCTCTCATGACTCTATCTGTCTGTCTGTCTATCTATCTATCTATCTATCTATCTGAATGCGAAGCCAGTTTTGCCCTCCTAGGATAAATGTAACTTCCTTATGGTGGATCTTCTTTTGTAGATGCTGGGGGGTTCAGTTTGCTAAAATTTTGTTTAGAACTTTTACATCTTCTGCTTATGAGCAAGATCGACTTGAAGTTCCTCTTTCTCATACACTCCTTGCTGGTTCCAGCGTCAAGGTTTTCTAGTCTTACAGCCTGAGTTGGGCAATAGTTTCTCTTTTCTATCCTCTGGAAGTTTTTGTATAACATTGGGATTGCCTGTCTGGAGACTTTATTAAAACTTGACTACTAAACAGCTGATGTACCTGTTTTCTTCATTTTTTCCCCTTAAAAAATGTGGGTAATTTCAAACATATACAAACAGGGTTTGCATATAAACTTAACAATTTCCAGGTTCATCACAGTAGAGCTGTGCTCCTGGAACATTAGCTTGCATCAGAGTCCAAATAAGCTTGTGAAAACAGATTGCCGAGCTCCACATCTATGGTCTCAGATTAAAAAATCTGGGGTGGGACCCAGAGTTTGCTTTTCTGGCAAGTTCCCTGGTGATTCAGATGCTGCTGCTGGGGGAACCACACTTTGAGAACACTGTACGAGAGAGAATAGTGAGGGAACCTCCAAGTATCCATCCCTGGGCTGCAACGGTTAACTACTCACAGCCAATTTCATTTCATTTATATCTTCTCCCCTCTGTCTCTTCCAGATTATTTTCAAGAAGATACCAGAAATCATCTCATTTTATTGTGGAACACTTCATCACACAACTCTAAAATATGAGCAATGCATTTTCCTCAACTGTCTCTTTGAAAATAGATTCAAAACACACAAAGTTGAAGAGTGAACACTCTTTCACCTAGATTTCATATTGTCCCGTTGCTTTCTATCTCCTTTTTCTTTTTGCTTAACCACTCAAGTTCCAAACATTTCATGCAATTACTTCCAAATGTAGCTCCTAAGACCTTGGATATTCTCCTAACCATATTACTATTGTCTCACTGAAGAACTTTAATAGTGGCATGATAACATCATCTAAGTCCATACACGGTCCATATTCCAATTTCCCCCAGTTGCCCTAGCGATATCCCTTTGAGGGTCAACAGTTCAATCAGGTATCATACATTGCATTCAGTTGTCATGTCTCTTTAGTATCTTCTAGTCCCAAACAGGCCCTCAACTTAAATCTTCCATGACCATGACATTGTCCAAGAGCCTCGGCCTGTTTGCTTCCAACGTGTCCACAATATGGCTTTGCCTGATATTTTCCTCCCATTCGGATGATTTCTGTTTAACATTTTTGGCAAGGATGTTAAATAGGTGCTGCGTAGTTCACATGACATCACATCTGAGAGCTCCTAAGGTCGGTTTGTCTAACAGTCGGTGCTGCTATTGGCATTACTCAGTTTGATCACTAATTTATGATATTGTTGGACAGATTAGTCCACTGTAAACGTCCCTTTGTCCCTCTGCGACTTACAAGGAGACAGTAGCATGATATTTTGATACCATGTGGGCATATTGTGTTTCCTCCCCACAGAATTTAACCTCTTGGCCTTGGTTTTTGTTCCTGCTTCTTGTCGGATTGGGTTATTACTTTGGTGGTTGAAAAATGGTGACTTCTTATTTGCTTTCACAACTTTCTACATTGACTGGTGGACATTTTGCTGTAAAGATGAACATCCCAGCCCCCCCAGCCCCCACCTTGTTGCTGTTGCTGCTGTTGTGTTTGTAGTAGCAGAGAAAGATGAGAAGCCATTCAGGTGTTGTGTTCAAAGAAACATAAAGAAAATAAAGTGGACAATATTAGGAGACATGTAAACAAGTTT